TAGGCCCCTCCTGGAAGCTTCTGCTACCCCACGTTCAACCTTTCAACACGTGCAAATAAATGTCTACCCCGGGACGGTTCTCCATGACAGTGTCATATGAGCATCCCAAAGGCTCCATTAAAACTCTCAAGGCAGCTAATAAAAACTTACTTTAACTGGTAAAACTCTAACCTGTACCGTTAACTAAGGCAGACTTAGGTATTTGAGGTAGTGGTTTTGGTTTTTTGTTTTGTTTTCAGTCTTTAACTTAAATGCAACTTGAGAAAGCAAGCCATCAGAAAGGATTGGCTGCCGAGCATTGGTGGCTCACACCTTTAACGCCAACAGTCGAATCTCTGGGAGACCAAGCTGACCTACAGAGTGAGTTCCAGGACAGCAAGGACTACACAGAGAAATCCAGTCTCGGAAAACCAGTAAGTAAATAAAGGGAGGGAGGGAAGGAGGGAGGGAGGGAGGGAGGGAGGGAGGAAGAAATGTACCCACTTTCCACCTCTGCAGCCCCAGGCTGTGAGAATTCGAGCAGAGCTAGAGGATGTGGAGACCTCCAAAACCAAGACTCAAAAGACTTACTGTGTTTCTCTAGCAAAGGTGGGTGAAGACAGTCATGAGCCTCAGTGTCCACCTGCATTCATTTTAGCCCTCTGTTCCCCTAAACTGAGCCCAGAGAACTTTTTCTTCAAGCCCCACAATACGCCTCATTTTAAACATTTTGGTCAGAAGTCATTATGACAGAGTCCACAGTTTTGTTTTTTATAATTTGGGGAGGGCAGGTGTTAATAATGGTGTCAGAATTCCAAGACTAGGATATGTTACTTCTGTTGAATATGTGTGGAGAATTCAAGGGTTTAGAAATGAAAAGGGAGTGTACATGGAAATCCCTAGAATATGATAAGCTTGGAGGGGTTGGGGAGAACGTGCACAGCATGCAGGTGGCCTTCTGGTCCATCTCAAGTGCCATAACAAACAAAAACCAAAAAGCAAATTTTGAAATTTAGGTGGGAAAGATCTACAACTTTTTCACAATGGGTCAGTCATATCAGCTGTCCAAGGAAACCCAGGGCTCAGTCTGGAATACCAGAGCAGAAAACAAGACCAATTGCCACTCTATCCCAGTCCCAGGAGACATGAGATTGCCAGCAAGAAGCCTGGTGACCCTTCCTTGCTAGGAGGGGGACACGCACGGACACGGACGGATGGACGGGGACACACACACACACACACACAGAGTTAGAGCTCTCTCTCCCCCTAGTCCAGGTCCCACTCTGGCTTGAGCTTCCCTCCTATAATCCCTGACTAGATTCCATATTAAGTCGCCTCTGAGAACCCTCTGCAGGGATGCCTGATGGCTTGTTTAACCTTCTCCCTAAAGACTGAGATGGATTGTCAGCCTGCCTATTCAACCCAGTTTTCTACTTTGGGGGAGGGAAAGGGAAGAGGGGCTTCCCAATTAAGCCGTGCCAAGCGAAGGGCAAACCAAAGCACAAGTGCCAGGTCAGCCAGGCAGCCACACCGGAGAAGCCTGTGTGCCAATGCCTGTTCCAGAGGAAACACAAAATAGAACTTCCCAGCTGTCCAAAGTCAAGCTGAACCAATTAACTCAGCTCACTTAAAGCAACACCCCTGAGGTGGGCTGGCAAAGGTGGTACTGCCTGGGGATGATCCCAAGGTTCTGTCCTTGTGACCACTTTAACTTCCACCCTAAATGAGTGTCGGTTGCCTTATCTTAATGCATGAGGTCACTATAAGCACCTGAAGCAAGCAGGTAAAGTACTTGGCAGGATGCCCTACTCAGGGAGAGCTCCATAAAACTCAATAAATGTTAGCGGCAAGAGCCTGCTTACTTCCAGTCCTCCCTTCTTTCCTGGAGCCTCACCAAACTGCTCATTTTGAAGGTGAGGAAATTGAGACTAAAGTAAGTTAACTGGTTTGATGAGGAAACGGCTTAGCCAGGAGGCAATACCAGCTTGTGCCTTTCCAATGAGGACGATTTTAACCAGTGTCCAGTCTCCAATACAGTAGATGTACTATCAATGCTAATTCCCCTTGCTGGGTTTTAAAAAAAAAAAAAAAGGAAAAGATTACACTTAACAAACAGCTAGAAAAAAAACACGGAGGTCCATGCTTATAATCTCAGTATCCAAGGGGATCAGGCAGGATGATCCACGGGCAACCTGGACTAACAAACCAGGACCCTATATCTCAAAAAACTAGCTGGACGGTGTTGGCTCACACCTTTAATCCCAGCACTTGGGAGGCAGAGGCAGGGGGATCTCTGTGAGTTTGAGGTCAGCCTGGTCTACAAAGCAAGTTCCAAAGCTACACAGAGAAACCCTGTCTCAAATAAAAAATAAATAAATAAGACCATATAAATGAACCAATTTTGATGCCAGCCTGCTCTACATAATGAACAGGACAGCCAGAGCTACCTAGTAAGATCCTACTCAACCAATCAGGAAGCCAATAAACTAAAACCAGAGCTGGAGATCCGTCTCAGTGGGTAGAGTGCTTGCACAGGGTACAATTGCCACGAGCTCTACCCCATCCCGCACCTGCAGCACACAAGTGGTTTAGTAAGTATGAGAGGTGAAGGCAGGGGGATTGAATTCAAGGTCATCCTCAGCTGCGGAGAAGGTCTAGGCCAGCGCGAGCTTCTTAGACTCTGCCTTAAAAAATAACAATAATAATGAGGTGCCATTATCACTAGAGTGAGAGTCCAGAAAGTAGGAAGGCAAAGAGAGCAGCCACAGGGTCCAGGCTGGTGGTGGGTGCAGGGCACTTGGAAGGCACAGCTCACCCTCAGCAGGAGCAGGGAAGGGAAGGTCTGACCCCGGTAACAACCCCACCCAAGCATAGCTACCTCCTGCTCCCACCCCAGGAATTGTCAACTAAGGGGCTTTGTGATGACCAGGGCAACTCAGACCAGCTAAACCCAGTAATTCAGGTGGAAAATACCCAGGCAGCCATAGGCAGCCAGATGGGAAGGAAGATTTTCGAGTTTTCGTTTTTTCCTTAAACCAATTTCCTGAGGCCTGAGGGCAGCACCCCAACTCACAGATCAGAAAGCCGTGAGAGGCTGGCAAATGCTTTCACTGATCCTTCATATCTTGGGTTTTTCCTTTCAAAGGAGGGACTTGCCCAGTTGGAGTTGACAAGGCTTTTTGGGGGCTGGTGACAGGGCTGTCTTCATTCATTTAAGCAAGCATCTAGAATCTGTTCCAAATCACACTGGCCTGATGTTGCTCAAATCCTTTCTTCTGAAAGTTACCTGTCCACTTTGGGGGTGGAGGTACCACTGACAGACCTCAAAATAAAGGGCATTTTGTTTTATCAAACACCCTACGGAAGCCGCCCAGCTTGTAAAGCTACCACCACCAGATGTACCCGGCTGCGCAAACCCTACTCCCCTCCCTTCTCCTTGTGTTTTGAAGTTTATTTTCCCACATTTAGCCTTGAATTCTTTCCTTCCTTCCCCCCGCCACGGCAAGGGAGCAACAGGGAGGGGGGCACTTTAAAGGCAGCTCAAGCCCCTTAATCCTCCCCTGCCCCTCCCCCCTCTAAACAAAGCCCTAAGGGCAAACTACACAAAAAGTCTCCCCCAGAGATATTGTTTCCTCCAGGGAAACCATAAACTGACCACCCTCTTCCTTCAACACACCCAGACACAGCAGGCCCCCAGCAGGGAGTACTTGGGTCTTTCCAGAACCCCTTGAAAGACCAAACGTCTTTTAAAACTCACCCCCAGAAACTGTGTGTGGGACAGATGACCTTATTCAAACGCAACACCCCACCTGGTAGTGTAAACCAGCCTACAAGTCTATCTCTGTGAATGTCTATCTGCAAACTGGAGATAAAAAAGGAGGTTAATACCAGTAAGATGTGTTCAGGTTTTCTCAAAAGTTTTCAACAGTCCAGGGTAGGACAATGATGAAGTTGTGTTTGTTCTCATTTGACAAAACAGGAAACTGAGCCCAGAAAGTGAGAGACAGGGCAGGTGGAAATAATTCGGGAGGTGATGTCTGATCAGATCTACAATAGCTTAGACAATCTATCCCTGCTCCAATCTAATCCTACCATTACTGATAGGGGGCCATCCACACAGGAATGGATGGTAGGGCTGAGCCCTCAAGAAACAGGTACTGAGAGACCTCTGACCCCAAGTTGGCTCAACGTTCTGGTTGAGATGGTCAGCCAAGTTTACCACGGTAAGGTCAATGCCTTCCTTCCTGGGTGTGTGCATTTTCAGATAAAAGACTCCACAAACCAACACTGAAGAAACTTCCTCTCACCCGCACTCTTCTCCCTCCCAGAAAAGGGACTCCCTGGGTTTGTGTTCGTTTGTGCAACCTGCTACTTTGACAAAGTTTAACTCCGCGTCTTCGTGGGACGTCTTAACTTGAGAAGACTTCCCGGAAGACTGGGAGCGTCCGCAGCATTCCAGCCACAGACCTTCCTCCGGGGCACTCAGGACAAGTCAGAGCCCCCTGCCCAACTCTTGAGAACAGCGACCCGCGGGTTTAAGTCTTTGCCCGCGACGGCTCTGGGGGCTTCTTAAGAAAGGAGCGGGAGCGGCAACCGCCCTGAAGCAGGAGGTGGAGACGCGAGGGGTGGCACCCGGCCGTGCTCCCGTACTCCGGGAGAGTCTCCAAGGAAAGATAAACGCCTTTATCCGTCCCACAGCCTCCCTCCGTAGAGGGAGGCACCCGCACACCCACAGAGCCACCACAGGGCCCAGTTCACCCTGGATTCAACCCCAAAATTTCTCGGAACGTACTAGGTTCTGACCAAGTCTACGCGCGTGGGGAATCCCCTTGTCTCTAGCCTAGAGACACAGATCTTTTCAACCAGACACCTAATGGGGAATTTTCTCACCACCCGGGACCTCTCGTTGGGGCTGGGAGGGTGTCATCTGAAGTCGTAGGAGGGGGAATCTCCACTAAAACGCCGCTGTAGCCCCAAATGTTTCAGGGGCATGTGGGGGATTCAGGCGACCGACGGCTCACCTGTAGGATCTTGTCCAGGCCTTCCTGGCTCAGGCACGGAAACTCTTTCAGTAGAAGCAGTTTCTGTGTATAGTAGTTTTTCTTGGCCTCCTTCCAGTGCGGCTCCTCCAGCACTTCGAAGATCGCCGCCCCGATGGCCAGGTAGAAAATGATGGCCGAGGTGAGCAGGGGACCCCGGTCCACCATGGCTCTTCAGTGGCCACCTCCTAGTGAACGAGTCCCCTAGTTACAGCGGTCCACCAGTCCAACAGCCCTGACACAGCTGTTTGAATTTGGAGCTCCGCATGCGCAGTGCCCGGTGCCCCCCGCGCGCCGCTCCCGGGACAATTGCTTGACCAAGTTGGCTCCGTGAGCGCAGTGAACTGCGTGGATCACGCTCACGCAAGCCAGGGTGAGCGTACACCAAAAGGGGTCTGGGGCCACCCACAATCTCTCGATTCTGAGCGACAGGGTGAAACTCAGGACCCACACCGGTAGACACGTGTGCTGCCCTGTGCGCGCGACAGTATGGTGAGCGCGCCTCCGCACCGCTCTTTAAGCAGTGCTCAGCCCGCCCGCGCCAGACCCTGAAGTGGGTGTGGCCCAGCTCAGGCCCCGCCCTTCTCCCCGCCCAGAGAACGCCTGAAGTCCCTGCCCCAGGCACCGAGCTCTCCAAGCTCCAGGCGCCTGTGTGCAGGTCAAGGCTGAGTGGTTCGCCCAGACCTCCACGACCCGTATCGTCGCACAGTTTACGGTCTACAGGAGTCCAGTTGTGTATTAGCAATTGATATAATTAGCTAAAACGGCCGTGCACCTTACTGCCGCGGTCAGAAATACATTGCTAGTGTTACTCTCATGTACAGATATCTCTTCCCAGAGATCTTAAGTTCCTCACCTATTCCTGGGGCTCACACACTTACCTACCAGTCTAGAGTAAAGGGAACCTATTTAAATTAGGATTACCGGAAACTAATCTCAACTACAGACAGGCGAAGAACCCGACCAGATGGTCTGTGTTCTCTCAGCATCTGAGAAAGACAGCAGGCAGCCACACCCACATTGCTAGCGCCTTACCCCCAAGTCTACTTAAAATTACAACACCTCCCCCCCCCCCCCCCCCCGACTCCGCGCCCCACCTCCCTACCACAACTGAAATACCAACTCTCGGAGAGGCTAGAAATGTCTTCTGCTCAATGATGCGTCTATCCACAAACCAACAGGTAACAACTAGTAATAAACACTCAGTCAGATGTAGTGATGGCGTGCACCTTTAGTCCCAACTAGAGGCAGGTGAATCTCTGTGCACTTGAGGCCAACTTTGTCTACACAGCCAGTTCCAGGCCAGCCAGAGCTACATAGTGAAACCCTAGCTCAAAAATAAACAACAATCGTGGCGGTTCTCACCTTTAATCCCAGCACTCAGGAGGCAGACGCAAGCATATTTCTACGAGTTCTTGGCTAGCCTGGTCTACAAAGAAAGGTCCGGGCCAACCAGGGCTACACAGTAAACCCTTGCCTCAGAAATAATAAACACTTGATAATAAGTACAATAAAGGTGTGAGAACATATGTCAAAAAAAAATCTGGGTTATTTCTCACTTTGCTTGCTTTTCTGGACAGATTTCATGTTTGGGTTTGTTGTTAGAGCCACTTCCCAGTAAAGAAATAGAAGCCCTGGCAGAATAGTTTGTGCAGTCCCCATAAGGACAAGTCAGAGGTTGGAAGTGCTGGAACCACAAACTGTCTCACCTCAGACCTCTGTGGAGGCAGTTGCAGCAGAGGCCAACCTCCCTAGCACTGTCCTTTTCTTTTTGTGGAGACAGATGATTAATCTTCACAGGCAAGAGTTGCAAGGAGGTTTATATGTGGATCTCCAAATCTTGCTGCTGCTGAAGGACTAAGGATATATCTACATTGCTGATCAATCATTAACTTTTGTTTTGTTCTGTTTTGTTTTGTTAAGACAGAGTCTCAGTATGTAGCTCTTGCTGTCCTGGAACTCACCATGTAGACCAAGCTAGACTCAAACTCACAAAGATCCACCTGCCTCTGCTTCCCAAAAGCTGGGATTAAAGATGTTGCCACCATGCCTGGCATGGAGGCCCTGGCGTTTTTAGATCTTGTTTGTAGATTCAGGGCATGTCCTGAGGGAGAAGCCTAAACAGGAAATAGAGAAAACCCAGGCTTCCAGGGCAGGAGACATGACTTTGCAGTTAAGAGATTTATTGCTACTACAGAGGACCCAGACTCAGTTTCTAGCAAATAAGTTGCAGTTCACAACAGCCTGTAACTCCAGTTCCAGGGGGTCCAATGTTCTCCTCTGACCTGGGTGGTTTCATACACACACACACACACACACACACACACACACACACACACATTGAATAAATAAATTAAGTAAATAAAAAAAAAGGAAAACCCAGGCTTCATAATTTTGCATCCCAGAGACCTACAGTGCCTGTCTGTTTCCTTTGAACTAGGCTAACCCTGGACCTGGCCTTAGGGAGACACTTCTCCAGAGGACCCCTTCCTATCCTAAGCAGGTTTCTCTTCTCTACTCTTTCTAACACCGAACCCTCCAACATCCCTCATGTAGTCTGAACCCCAATCTCACAGCCTCACTCTCCAGACCTCAACTGGCTATGGAGACCAGATGTCTGTCGCAGGTGTGCCCAGAACTCTCCAGGGCTAGAGCTCACCCTCATTGTGATAAAGTCAGGAGCTGCGTGGGATGTGAACACTTCAACCAGTTTATGGTAAGCACAGGTCACCTGACCCTCCAGAAAATTATCTACCATTTCTGTCTGCCCTGGCAGCTGTACTCTCCTCCTGGGAAGGAAAGGGGCCTCTCTTATTTCCACTTCACTGCCTTACAAAAACGCTGCTGCATACACTGGGTCGAACTGATCTTTATTCAAAGTTCTCTCTCTCTCTCTCTCTCTCTCTCTCTCTCTCTCCCTCCCTCCCTCCCTCTCGGAGGGCACATACATGCATGGAGGTAAGATGTCAGCCTCAAGTGTAATTCCTTAGCTACTTTCTAGATTTTTAATATTGCTTATTTTTTATTTATATGTCAGTGAGAACCTTTATGAATTTATATGTACCACGTGGATGCAGGAGCCCGCAGAGGCCAGAAAGTGCATTGGATCCCCTGGAACAAGCAACCCTAAGCCCCCATATAAGTGCTGGGAACTGAACTCAGGTCCTCTGCTAGAGCAGCGTGCACTCTCAACCTTTGAACCATCACTCCAGCCCCCAGTTTCACTTTTTTGAGACAGTCTCTCTCACTGACCTGAAGCTGGCCAATTAGGTTAGACTGACTGGCCTAGGAGCCCCCTGGAGATCACCCTCTCTTACTGGGATCCAAGCACACTGCCACCCTCTGCTTCTCCTTTAGATGCAGGTACCGGGTGTTGACACCAGGGCCTCGTGCTTATGCAGCAAACGCCTCTCCAACTGAAAGCTGTTTCTCCAGCTCCATTATTCAAAATGTTTTCATTTTGAGTTTCTCTTCCCTTTCTCTCCCGCCGCCATCTCCTGTTACATTTTTCTCTCTGACCTTCCCTGTGTCCAGGATGTTATCTGTCCATCTTCCTCTGTGGTTCCAGCCTTCACCTTTCTGTATCTCCCCACACTCCTCTTCTTGGCTTCTCTTCTCCTGCCTCTTGCTCTCTAGTTTGTCTCTTTCCCACTTGAATGTATTTTTCCGCTCTTTTTTCTCTTCCTGGTCTCATTTATATCATGCTTTCCCCAGGATACCAGGAGCATGGACACTGCTAACACGAGCTGTGTCTGTTCTCTAAACAGTAGGGCACCTGTTCTGTCCTGTCCCTTTAAGAGACAAGTTCCCCTACTCCCCTCCACCCCCATTCCTCACCCCCACCACCACCCCCATCCACTGCAAATCTTCCTTCCTTCCTGCTTGCAGCTCAAGCTTCTTCCTTTCCTTCTCTCCCCCGAAAAAGGTAACTGTTGCTGTGGCGCCTTTCCCCCCCCCTCAGTGTCTCTCTCTCTCTCTCTTCCATAACCCACTAAATAAATATCCAACCTCATTCTACATGGCATGTCTATCTGTCTCAGTCTCTTACCTACCATGCAGCTCATGCCTATGACCTGCTGGCCCTCATGGCCTGTGGGCCACTCGGGGGCTCCCTTCCTGGGACCCAGCTGCCTTTGTAGCCTGCCATGGTCTTGGGACCCGCTGCCCACTGCCCACTGCTGCCACTCGGGTACAGTGCAGAGTTTTAATTTAAACTGTAACATTGGTACTTGGTGACTCGGCTAGGCTCTCCATGTTCCCTCTCGCCCACAGATGGGCCAGCTGAGGACTCGTGGAACCCTGGGCTGGGGAACCAGGTTTCTTTACAACAGCTCTGCATTCTATCTGCCTCAACAGTGACCTCTCCACACACCAGCAGCTTTGGTGGTGAGTTCTCCCCTTCCAGCCCCCAACAACAGCCTTCATGGCTATGGGTCTCATGTTTTAAATTGGTATGTGCTTTTAAGTCTCTTACATAAAATACTATATGTTTAATCCAACCCTGCTTTACCTGTTAAGTTGAGAGCCAGTAAGGTCAAGCTCCGTCTCAGCTCTCCAGGCAGATTCTATGCTATAGTTATAACTTATCTATACCCGGCAAACAGCCTTCATCTACTCAGAGATCTGGGGAATATGGCATTTAAATGCTTAATTATTAAAAACGTTTTTATAATAAAAAGAGACAAGTTGGCTCCTAGCAGCAGCACTCTACTTCCTCCAAAGAAGACAGAAGAAAAATGGGCACAAAACATCCATCCTCAGTTTGCTTCACCTGCCAAGCACTGACCACTGAAAAAACTGCCTTTCATCTAAACTGAAGGTCTCCAGACGTGGACAGAATCAGTAAAATCGACAGCCTAGCTCCTCAGGTGAAGGTAGGCTTGTCTTCCTACAGATCTCTCAGCCCACAGGATCTTCTGGAGCCTGGCAGGCCCTGCGCTAAACAGGAAAAGAAAAATAAAATCCTTATCAACCATGGAGGACCATGAGGAGTAGCTCTAGGTGCCAACCAAGTAAGTTCTCTGTCATTTTTAAATCAATAACTCAAGTAAAATTTTATCCTTCTCAAAGATCTCTGATGCAGTTTGATAGCTGAGAGGTTTTGCAAGTTTAAAAGGACAGCCTCACCAAATAAATTTCAACAAAATACAAGTACAAGTTATTAAGATGAGTACTTGCAAGTTATAAAGATGTGATTGTAGAAGGAGAGAGCACTTGTTGGTTCCCAGCCATTTAGACCCAAAATAATCACACAGAAATTGTATTAAGTGTATCACTGCTCGGCCCATTAGCTCTAGCTTCTTATTGGCTGACTCTTACATATTAATTTATTAAAACTGCCAGCAGGGGTACAGTCTCTAAGCCAAGATGTGCCTTGAGAAGAGAAATGAGGGAAGGGTTTTTAAAGGAAAAAACCACAAGAAGACTTTTTTTTTTATAAAAGTTTCATTTTATTATAGCCCATCTACCCACAGTCTCCACTTGTACATTTCACAA